GACTTTACATTATGCTTTGGCAACACCCAAGACAGGTAGCTAGATGCTGATCTAGTTTCTCCCCAAGTCTGGAAACTAGGCAAGATGCAGGGTCTTGTCTCTGACTTTTCCTTCATTGCACTTGATAGGCAGTGCTTTGCCTCTCACCCAAGTTCTAAACTTAATCTTTGCACTTTGTGCCAGACTTGACAGAGTACTTAAAGAGTACAGTGCAACGTCAGAAATGACAGACATAACCAGGACATCAAAGAAACCTGAGAATAGCAGAGGTAGTGGCAATCATTAATAATGGTCCAGCTCAATCGTGCTCTTACCCATGCTTCATTTAAAATACCAAATGCTACATTTCTCCTTTCACCTGTGCAAACTAATCAGTATCCTATCCTCCAGACTGTCTAGTTGTCATTCTAGTCATCACTTCTGTTTTTGCATTTGTACCTATTACAATCCCTCAGCAAAATCTATGTGCTACTACATCCTACAAAACTGGCAGCAAAGAGAGAGGTGCATACAAGGTGAACTCTGCTTTGAGAGGCCACCTTTACAGTATATTATTAAAGAATGTCTTGTGTACTTTATACATTCCTCTCAACTGTTACATGAAGAATGGTAGCCCCTCCTAAAACTTTGATGCTTCAGCCACATTATTTCAGTTATACAAGTGCAGCCAGATTGCTAGCTTGCTTGCCCTGTTGTAAGAACAGGGATTCTGATTGCATTAGTGTAAGATCACATTTACAGCCCAATCCTAAACGTATCTATTCAAAAGCCCAATACATTAAAAAAAGACTTATTCTCAGTTATCTACACTAAAATCCTAATTGTTACCCTATCTAGCTCAACTGCTTCTTGACATGGCTTGACTAAGATTTAAAAAATGAATGTATGTCCTAAGACAACCAAAGTAACACAAAGTTTATTTTTTAAAAGTTAGCAAAAACCTTACTACATTAAATTATCCCAATATTTAATAAACCATGTTAAATTCAATGAAGATGCAAGCATACCACAAGTCCTTATTTTGTCAACAGAATGCAAAACAGCAATCAATGAATTCAAATTTTAAAAATCCCAACTTAATTTACGCACATAAGACAATAAAATGTGAGAAAGTTATGAGGGAAATTAAATTAAAAGTGGAATCACTGCAGCTTTGCCAACACACATAAAATTTCCAAATGAGAAGATGCGTATGACACTATGCTATTAACTGCAGAAACATCAGCTATACTGCCAAAATATGTATGGAGTATTTTAGCAGCAGAAAGTTATTCAGCAAGTTTCCCAAATGGAAAGTTGAGAAACCAAAACAATACTGCATAATTCAAGATTTGCACAGAGTGTGTTAAAATTTCACCTACAAGTTATTAATAAAAATTTCAAAAATGATGTCATTGTTCTCTACTTACAAATGGCAGGATCATACAGGAAAAGTATCGAAACTGTCATCAAACCATTTACTGAGAAGTAATCTTATTTTCTACAAATATTACAGCCTTCAAAGCATTATACGGTATCACCTACAAACTCTACACTACCGCTACATGGGTGAAACAGGAATATAAACTTAGAACTACAACTCATCCAATACTTCTCAGTGTAACACAATACTACCATATTACATATAGAAGAAACTTAACTAACCCAGAGAATTCATGCTAAAGAGTACAGTACTGTTCCAATGAGAAGCACTAGGTCTCCATTATTTTTTTAAAGTAGCAAAACTGTCAACAGCCCCATAGTTTACTCAAGAACCAGAATTATCATCACCAATTCACCATTCTGTCCATACTCAATTTGACAGCATGAAAAATCACTGATATATTTTAGATTATTCATTACCAGAGGTGGGTGTGTAGAAAAGTAAACTGGAAAATATATCCCACAGTCTTTTAAAACTGAAAGATGAATCAGAGATTCCGACAGGAAAGAGCATGTTGCAGCAGCTGTGATTTTTGTATGTTTGCTGGAAAGTAAAGCTCACGTCGTCCTAAATAAGCACGCATCCACGCAGATTTACCTACCAGCGAGCCCACCGATCTCAACGCACCTTTCCTCCACGTCAGGGTGCCTAGGCTTGCAATCATACCCGTCCATCCCTCGCGTGTTTATTTACGATTTAGCCCGCTGACTTCCACTGGGCTTACTCCTAGGAAAGCAATCCGATAACTGCAGCCTTCGGGCGGCAATTCTAAACCTGGCCTTGCACCGCGGAAGGAGGAGGGGCAAAAAGCTGAGATCGTTTCCCGGCGGCAAACAAGCGGCCCCGCCAGAAGCGACGCCGAAAACGTGGTGCCCGCTGGGGAGGAGTCGCCCCCTCCGATCGAGCTGGGGCTCGCAAGCAGGACGAGGCCCAGGCGGGAAGAAGTCGGCCGCTCAGGCGGCTCATTCTCCTTCGCTCCCCGGTCGCGGCGAAGGCCCCCAGCGCGGTGGCCAAGCCGCCCCTCAGCGGCCTCCCGAGC